TTCCCCCTCCCCAATCTATTCCCCCCAAAAAAATTACCCCCGGGCCCTTTTAAGGTTTTAAAAGCACTTTATTTTTTCAAAGACGCGCTCCCTCTGGCCCCATTTCTGCAATAGGCGACCCTGCTGATGCTCTCGCGGCTCCACCGCACGACGTCGGGCATGCCTGTTTAGGTGTGGCACGTGTGCGAGCTCTAACGCCGCGAGGCGCGCCAGGTCGAGAGGCGCAGTCGGCCTCGGCTCGAGGGAGGACGCGTCCGGGACACGTCCACGACATATCCGAGACATGGTTGAGAGGGGGGGGGGCTCGAGCGACCCTCGGGGCACCGGCCAGCGGCCAGGGACGGCCGCGAGAGCATCAGCAGGGCAGCCGCGGGGCGGAGCAGGTGAGGATCTCCCCACATCTCCCCACATCTCCCCACATCTCCCCCCTCTCTCGTACGTTGAGCAGCCGCGGGGCGGAGCACGTGAGGATCCCGCGCCGCCCGCGCTCGAAGTGCAGCTTCCGGTGCCCGGGCGCGAAGAGGCGCTGCCGCGAGCGGTCGGCGCCCCAGGAGGACCGCATGAGGAGCTCGCGCAAGAAGGGAGTGCCGCCCGCCTCCTTCCACGCCGCCAGCGCTCGCTTGTCGCCCCCGCTCAGGCTCTTGGAGCCGGTGCGGATCGCGAGCGCCGTCCGCGAGGTGAACGTGGCGCGGTACCTGACGACGCGCGCGGGGGAAGGGGGAGGGGGGGGGGGAGAGGAGGCGGCGGTGTGTCTGCGAGTGGTGTGTCTGCCGGCGGGGGAGAGGAGGGGGGTGGACGTGCGTCTCGGGGGGGTGTCTCGGAAGTGTCTCGGGAGTGTCTCGGAAGTGTCTCGGAAGAGTCTTCGGAAGTGGCGCGGTACCCGATCCGCGTGAGCCGGTCGATGTGCGCGTCGTGCGTCCGGTTCCGTCGCCCGTTCTTGCGCCGCGCGGCGCGGAGGAGGCGGCCGGCGCGCTGGGGCGGCGCCGAGCTGTTTGCGGCGCCGAGCCAGCGCAGCAGCCGCGGCACGGTGGAGTTGAAGGCGGCGGGGAGGAGGCCGTGCAGGTGGAGCTGGTACACTCGCGGGTGGGCGCGAAAGGACTCGTCCAGGTCGAGCATCGCCTAGAGGAGTGTCTCGGAAGTGTCTCGGAGGTGTCTCGGAGGTGTCTCGGAAGTGTCCTAGGTCGAGCATCGCCTAGAGACGGCCCCCCGAGACACCTCGTCGACACTTGCTGCCGCCTCGCGCAAAGGGGCTCGTCCAGTGTTGAGCATCGCCCGCATCGTCGGGTACGCGCGGCGCGCCTAAGGTAAGGGTAAGGTACACTTCTCCACACACACGAGGTGGTGGGGCAAGGGCCAGGCTAGCCCCTCGCGTCTCCACGTCTGACGACAGGA